TTATAATTTTCCCTTTGTTAGGATATACAAAAGGAAAACATTCTATTTTATAAATATTTTTACTTATATCTAAATATGAAAAACACTATAAAATATACTTTTTCATTTTTTGTTTCGGATCTAGAAGATGAAAATTACGATCATATAATCATTTACAATTATCTGATGTTTAGAATTTCAGATAACTATCAAATAATTATTTTTGGTTAGTAATAAATAGTCTTAAAATTATTATTTTTACAATTTGTATCACTACTATTTTTACAATTTTATTTTTTTAATTAATTAATTATTAATTTGTATCATGTTCATCATCAAGTTATTTTTAAAAAAATATTATAAAATAACTTTTTACCTTTCTCTTTTGGCTACAGTTTAAAAATATTTTTTTTTTAACTGGCTTTCATATTAAAATTAATAAAAACAGAGTTTACAGAGGGAGAGCAAAACAACAGAATAAAGAGAGAACAAGAGCAAGGAAATTTAAAGAGAAAAAAGGGAGAGGGTCACAATGATCCTAACGACCATGGAATGTGAAAGAAGAAACGCAGCAGAAAGAGATGCTGCCCTTTTACACCGCAGACCAGAATGCCACTAAACTCAGTCCAAGTTCTGATCCACAGTTTCGCAAAGCTGTAGATTTGTCCTTTGCTTGTTTAATGACCTCTCGAGATAACATCCAATGAGCTTTTGTAAGACTATCATGGTAACGAGCATTACGTTCCTGCCACAATGCATATATTGACCCATGCCAGAGCTGTAGAACAGCAGAAAGATGAACATTATTACTTGTAGCAGAGTCAAACCATTGTAGGATAGAATCCCACTGACGAGGAGGGTTAGAGAAACCAAGCACCCCAATAACTGATTTCCACACAAGAGTCAAGGGCAGAGAATGAATAAGAGATCCCTAAATTCAGGTGCACTTCCACATTAAAGACAGCAGTTCTCCAAATCAATGCCCTAAGAGATTAATCGATCCATGGTTGGATTACGGTTGAGCATAAACAACCAGGAAGTGATCCTATGCTTGGGTGTAATTGCCTGATTCCATATAAATCTCACCCATGAAACAGAAGGATTAGGTAACCTAATAGACTTCCAAACTTCCTTTGTCGAGAACTTAGTACAAATTTTATCTTCAACATTCCAAACAGCAACGTCAGACCCCGGAGAAGGAGAAAATAAAGTGAGATAAACTTGAAGATTCACTTGTCTCTCAGACCTAGCCGGTCTTAAAATTCAATCTGAACCTCGTGTAATGGAAGAAACCAGAGAATCCATTGGAATTCCCAAGGCTGAAGGACCCGAAGGTCCCAAGTAATCAATCAAGGAACCAAAAGGTGTCCAAGGATCAAACCAGAAGTAAGTTTCACCTCCTCCCCGCACCGTGATACGGAGAAATGACAAAGCTGTCGGACGCAGTTTTAAAAGCCTTCGAAAATTAATTTCGTGAGTTCAGAGACCAAAATGAACCTGCTGAGAGATATTTGTTTTGAACCCATGCTACCCATATAGAACCTGCCCGGAAATAGACCATCCATATCAACTTGATTCCAAAAACAGTGTTCCAAGAGGAGAGACCTCTGATTCCGAGTCCCCCTTCAGATTTCGGATAACACAAAGAATCCCATGCAACCTTAGCAGAGGTATTGCCTTAATTTCCATGCCAAAGGAAAGAAGAGAGCAGACTTTGAATCATCTTTAAAACCTTTTTGGGTATACAAAAGGCAGATGACCAGAAACCAAGAATGCCGGGAATGGTAGATGAAATAAGCTGGAGTCGACCAGCCATACTCAGATGTCGGTTCATCCAACCATTAAGTTTCCTTCGGACTTGAGAAAGCAAAGGGTCACAATCTCTAACCGATAACTTCTTGGAGCAGAGAGGCAAACCAAGATACCTCACCGGCAGCTGAAGTGAGTGAAGCCTAAACCGATTTAGGATATTGAGTTCTGTTTGAGCAGATAGACCAGTGGAGAACATAGAAGTTTTTTGAGATATTAACTTGAAGACCTGAGAATTTTTCAAACTGGGACAGAACTGTAAAGAATCCTGCCAAAGAAGTTTCTGTACCATCAAGAAAAATTAATAAATCATCCGAGAAAGCAAGATGAGTAAGTTTTGTTCCTGCACAACTAGGATGATAGGCAAAAATTCCATCTTCTGCTCCCCGATTCAACATATAAGAAAGGACATTCATGACCACCGCAAACAAGAGAGGAGAGATAGGGTCTCCTTGCCTCAATCCCGTTTTTCCTTTAAAGAAACCAGAAGTTACCCCATTAATACTCAGTGAGAAGGAAGGAGTAGAGATACATGCACGAATGCAGTCAACAAAATCTGCCGGGAATTTCATAACCTTGAGTGTCTGAAGAAGAAAATCCCATCTAACGGAGTCAAACGCTTTAGAGATGTCCACTTTAAGCGTTATTCTTGGTGAGCGATTCTGATTATGGTATCCATTAAGCACCTCAGAAGCAAGCAATACATTTTCAAGCAACAACCTATTTTTTATGAATCCAGTTTGGTTCGGCAGTACAAGATCCTGTAGAGTATCTTTCAATCTATCAGCCAAGATATTGGAGATCACCTTATATAAAGTATTCAGACATGAAATAGGTCGAAAATCCTGAATAATCTCTGCTGCAGGTTTTTTTGGGATCAGAATAAGCGAAGTAGAATTGAGTCCCGAAGGCATGAATCTGGTTTTAAAGAAATCCAAGACTGCAATACATACTTCATTTTCAATAAAGCTCCACGTTGATCTGAAGAATTCAGCTGTTAAACCATCAGGTCCCGGTGTGCGATTAAGAGAGAGCTTGAACAATGTGGATTTGATCAAGGTAGCTAACACCGGAACAGAGAGAAGAGCTTGATGGGCTGGAGTACAAACAGTTGAGACGACTCTGAGAGATACTCTGGCAGGAATTGACAGAATGAACCTCTCAATGTACATAAGACACCCGCAAAATGAGCAGCTGCTATCTGGTGAACTTCTTTAAGAGACTGAGATCTCGACCCATCTCCCCTCAAAAGATAAGAAATCCCATTAAGAGCATTAATGACGAGGGTAATTCTGTGAAAAAGTGAGTATTTTAAGTCTCCAGCCTCCAGCCATTTGATACGAGATCGCTGTCGGAAAAACATTTCCTCAGCAAGTCTTAGAAATAGCCAGGTTTCACGAAATTGTTTTTCCAAATCCATATTTTCCTGAGATGGAGAATTAAACACCTGCACTTGGTGAGTATCTAGAGTCGATTTTGCTTCCAGAACTCTTCTCTCAATCTGACTGAAATTTTCCTTACAAATAGACTTGATAGGAGATTTAAGTTGCTTAAGCTTAAAACATAGATATGTGAGATTCCCTGCAGGATCCCCTAACTGAAGCCAACAGTCTTTGATAGTAGGAACAAAAGAGGGCAGCTTTATTAAATAGCTGGGGAACATGAACGCTCGGGTCCAAAAATCCGGCCTAGTAGTTTAAGTCTTATATGGCAAGGCGTATGATCAGAGAACTCCGGGGTTCGAAGGAGAAAAAACCTTTAGGATGAGATAGCTGCCACAAGTCATTTATCAGACATCTATCAATCTTCTTACCAATAGGATCAGACGGAAGATGATTCGACCAGGTAAACTTTGGTCCTTGCGATGCAAGATCAAATAAGCTTATATCAGATAGGCACGAACGAAATTCACGCATGGCTCTCGTAGTAGTAATAATGGAAGGATTTAAAGATTCCCAGGGGTCCAAAATCTCATTAAAATCCCCACAAACCATCCAAGGTTGATTAGACAAATCAAAGGCAATTTCTGTCTCTTTTAGGGAAATCCAGAGTTGTCTTCGATCATCTAACTCATTAAAAGCATAAACCGCAGTGAAGTAGAACGAAAGAGACTCTGGAGGCGATATTTCAACTGTGATTGATTGAGCATCCGCATACAAAAAGTGGACATTAATACTATCTTTATACACAAGCCACACTTTACCGAGATCAGAGTACTGATAATTAGCAATAAGCTTCCAACCCGGTCCCAACACCGATAGAATATAAATGCTATTAGCTTCACTAACATGCATTTCCAAAATAGCACCAAAGAAAATTCTCCTTTTATTAATCCACAGAGACAGAGGTATATGCTTCGAGAGATCATTGATGCCGTGCACGTTTCAAAAAAATGTATCCGACATATAAAAATTATTGGGGATTCTGATCCCCTAATGAAAGGGGAGGTGAACCCCTAACAAAAATATTAAAATATAATAAATTTGGTGAACCCATGCCGTGCAGGGTCACTTGGGTGAAACCGGAACAACACTGTTTCGCGAGCTCCACGCCACAAGGCGACTCACGATTGGTCCGGTTATTAATATTTTTTTTTAAGATTAATTTGTTTTTCTGTGAACCCCCTCTCATCGATTCACTAATGGAGCTGCTCTTATATGGTAACTTGAAAGTGACTCAAATAAATGAACACAAAAAGATCATCCCTTTCAAACAGGAACAGTTTATCCGAATAATACTATATTTCGGTTTGGAGATTTCCGGTTTAGTATTATAGGTTCGGTTAAAGCATCAAGTAGGGTCTTCAACCTTTAGCCTCAAGGAGTACCATTTTTGTGAATCCAAAACACATGCATTTTATACAATCATGGTAAAAGTAACGGATGCAGCTTTTGCCCATCACTTTGACTAGGACCCAAATAAAAAATAATAATAAAAAAGAAACCAATTAGAGTTTCAGTTACTATGTTGATCTCCGAGTATTCTCCATATATATGTTGTGTGAGATTAGTCTAAGATCCTATTTGTTGATGGCATGTTATCCTAAAACTGTCTCTTTAACCAAACTGAGAGATCTTTCAAATTCATTTTAAACCAAAACGTCATAATGATTTGTCTCTATTAAGAAAGTTCTAAACATTCTGCAAAACACCAAAAGAAATCACACCATTTTTGCCATGGTTTCTTTCTCTGATCTTTGCCAAAAGTCTTTTCCACCTTCATCATACGTGCATCTAGATTCAAAGCTAGCTCCTCTATTTGCTATCTCTTTGTTCTTAGTTCATTGCTTTGTTCAAAAGATAGACATGAAACAGTCCCCAAAAGATAGTTACTAAGCATTAAAACCAAAAGATAGTAAAGCATAAACACCACAAAGGTGAGACTGATCTCTGATATTTAACTTGCGTTTGTCTCTGCTTCTTTCTTTATCTATATTAAACGAGCTGATGTGACTTTCCTCTGTTTCATAACTTTCATCGCTTTCAACCATCTCACTCTTTTCTGTGTTTTCATAATACGCTCCTCAATATCCTTTGCCATCTCTTCTATACTGAGAAAACTCTGTTTAATGGAGTCATTACCAACACCACCTTCATCGTCCCTCGTTCCTATGTCTTCTAACTCCTCCTGGGATTTCACAGTGTCCTCACTTCCCTGGCCATTCTCATGAGTTTGATCCCCTACGTTGACGTGAGTGCTTGACTTATCAGATGAGCTCAGGCCCATACTCTTATGTGCTTGGCTTCCTTCATCTTCACTAGCACCTTCAGAGGCAAGAGGAGGAGCTGAAGAATTGTTTCCATCAGATGGGATTGGAATGTTGATCTCAGCCGCTTCACTTCTGCCTTCATTATTCTCTTCAACCCTTGGCTCCGTTTCTTCTCCATCATCTCTTGCTAGGATACCAGCTTCATTGAGCAAACAGTATGCTGCCGTGCTGCCATCATCCATCATAGTACTCTCGTCTGCATTGCTTCCATGTACATTCATCTCATCATCACACGTTGGCATTGTCTCTGGTGGTGATACAGCAATGCCAGTTTCTCCATCGAAACCAACAGGAGGACTTGATAAGTTGTTTCCATCAGATGGGCTTAGCACCAAAGTCCTTCCTGCCTCATTGGCCTCTCTGTCTATGACCATCTCAGTTGTGGTAATGTTATCATAACAATCCATACAAGCTCGCTTCTCTTCCAAATGCTCACTCTTCCTCTTCACTACTTCTTTTTGAAACAACTCATTGAGTGGCACTTCTCTTGAAGCTGGTCCACCAGAATCTGCTATCTCGGATCTCACACTTGTAGGTGTTCCAAGATATCTAGACCTTTTGAGTTTTGCAGGAAACTCTTTTCCCAGATTTTGAAGCACTTCTACTAATGGCACTACCTTAGGAGGATTGTGGTTTTCATCAGATGAGCACATAGCTTTATTCTTGTTTCTCAACGCCAATGGTGTTGGCTTCATTGACTTTCGTTTCTTAGAACCAGAAGGAACATGCTCAGATGTATCATCATCATCATCACCTCCTCTGATGTTTATTGGTTTCAATGATTCAGCTACTTCAGAACGAGAAGGGATGTACAATGTCAATCCATCAATAGGCTTGTTGTACTCATCCCAAGCATCCTCTTTGAAGAGGTTGTTCCTGTTAACAGGACAAGGAACATCCTGAAGCAACCCAAACTGTGAAGCCACTCGGTTGGGAAAGTAGTGTTCCACACTGTGAATTCCAACAAGCTCAGAGACCTTGATGCATCTAGCAAAAGAGATGAGTTCCTCATCAAGATTCTCATCAACGTGAACCCACATTGGTTTCTCAGGGTAAAACCGAGGAAACGTCCAGTTTTTCACAGCTTTTGTGTAAGGACGCCACTCAAAGCTGTCCATTTTCGAGTTTGCAAGTATCTTCCTCGCATTTCTCTTTGCTCTCCATCGTTCCCAACCATCCCAAAGAGCCAACCTTGGCTCACCTTTAAGCAACGTGTTAGTTTGTGTTGGCCGTAGTTCCCTGAATCTCTCCCATGTCCAAACTTGGACCAACTTAAACAAGGCGCTGAGTTCAAGCTTGGGGGTAATCTTTGCTATGTTGAAGCCTCTAATGTGGTCTTTCAAGAGAGTTAGGTCTGCATATAGGTGAGCAAGAACAGGTGGAGCCAAAGCAATCCTAGTACCACTTGAAAGATGAACAGCAATCCGCAAAATAGCTTTATCTATATGATAGTACCGTGATGGAAACACAAAGTAGCTTAGCCACAACGCAAGGAAAGCCGCATGCTCAAGCTCATCATCACCACTGTTCATGAATCTCCCCATCCATGTGATTTGAGTTACGAAAGTGACCTTATTATCTTTCTTAATCTTGACCCATTCTTTCCCCAGTTCCCTCACAGTCTTCTCTCCTAAGCTATCCAGAGCAGCGAAAAACGGTGAACCCAAAACAGAAAACCCTAGAATAACCATGACATCTTCTAATGTAACAGTTGCTTCACCCCAAGGGAAGAGGAAGGTTTTAGTGTCAGGACACCATCTCTCAGAGATACCCAGAAGGAGATCTGTGTTTTTAGCGATTTCTTTGGTAGATACCATGACTGCTTCAAAGATTCCAGCTTTTTGCCATGTGGGTTTGTGTAAAGTTGACATTTTTATAGCCCAAGACTTGAAAGCTGAGTTCACCTTTCTCCACCCGTTGAAGAAAACGCTCAAAGACAGAGCCTTTATGTCCGGAGGAGAAGATTCTGAACGGATTTGAGGAGGAAACATAGCTTTAGATTCGTCCATGGAGGTTGTGAAACAGAGGTTTCTGAAAAATGGGTTCTTTTCACAAGGAAACGAAGAGAAAGTTTTGTTCTTTTCTCTCCCTCTTTCTGTCTCTGGAGGAGACAAAAGGTTTGGTCTTTCTCTCTTCTCTCTGTCTTTTTGTGAGTTAACGTTTGAAGAAAGTTAGAAATGATGTTGCAGAGTTGTGAGCAGGAATGCAAACAGTTTCCTTTACAAGGCAATTAAAAGAGAAAGTAATTAATAAAAGGTCTCATTAATAAATATATATATCTTCTGAAAGAAAAACATTTCTAAAGTGTTTTGTCTCTTATGTCTGCAAAAAGAATACTAAAACAAAAATATTTTTTGAGAAACTGCACCAAAGCTCCTTTTTTGTAATAGTGACACATTTTATAGTTGAGCATTTGAATTGTGCTTGTACCAAATCAGACATGGCCTGATTTTACTGACCAAAGAAACTGATTCAAGGAACTTAAAAGAACTTAAAACCGAACTGTAGAAGATGATGGCCACCAAAAGTTTCTTGTTTTGGAATCGAGATAATGTGACCTCTCCAAGTTTCTTTGCACATAATGCAAAAGTATTGATTCCTCATTTTGGTATTGTCTAACACAATAGAGCTTTTGTGTTTGATTAGTTGTATGCATATCTATTATATAAAGGAGTGTTTCCCTCCTTCTCAAGGGTGCCACATAGGCTCCATGTCATTATGTCCACCTAGGATTTTTTGTGCCACATAGATAAGTCCTTTTAAATTTTAATTTCTTTCACAATCATCTTCTCTATTTTTTTTTTTTTTGATTCATACACTCTTATAATAGTTTGAATCTCTAGCAGATTTTCAAGGAGTGTCCTCATCCATATGATAAGCAGAGGAACCAACTTGGCAGAGAATTGGGGTTTGGGTCGAAGACAAATCAAGTTCTGGTTCCAGAAAAGAAGAACTCAGCTTAATGTTATGTGTGTTAATCTCTCTCTCTCTCTCTCTCTCTCTCTCTCTCTCTCTCTCTCTCTCTCTCTCTCTCTCTCTCTCTCTCTCTCTCTCTCTCTCTCTTTTGTGTGTTTAATTTTTTTTCTGAACAACCTCGAAAAAGTTGTTTTGTGTGTTTACACAGGACTCTGATGCTGGAGATAATGTTTGTGTATAAGAAGATTAATGAGGTTGAGTGCACCGAAAGGAGATGATGAGGAGAAAGATGAAAATTTGGAAGAAAAAGGAAGTGATTGAGAAGGTAACGTTGAAGTGTTGCAGGAGATGGGTTTGGAGAAGTCTTTTTTGAGAAACCTAAATTTGATACTGAACAGCTTATGAGTAGTATATCTAAAGTAAAGGGTCCGGAGAAGAAGTTGGAACTCTATTGAATCTATGGATTTTGATGATAAGATCCATGAAATCAAAACAATGGCTAAATGAGCACATGAGATAGAAGCTGGTTAAACAAGAGTTTTGGAAGGCGATTATGAGCATACAGAAGTATCTAGATCTCGGATAATATGCATATGCAAAGATCAAGCTGCAAGGAATCCATAGGAAGAAACCGTGTTCAAATCAGAAGTAAATTCCATCCATAAATCTATACGAAAGTTGATGAAAAGTTTTATGTTTCTCTGATCCAAAAACCTGCAATTTTACCTTTGAGTTTAGTGTGTATGTAGGCTACTTTGGAGGTGATTTTCAACAAGATATAAGGAAATTGGATCACAATAAAGTTATATATGGAAAGATCCCATTGTAGAGAGTTCATTGGATCAATCGAATTATGAATATAATTATAAACAATTCATATATCATCTTCAAAGTTGGGCCAAAATCATCTGAATCTGCAGAAACAGATAAAATTGTTTGGTAACAGCATTTTTAGAAGATTGTTTGACAAGGTTAATAAATGCTGATCGAGTTGAAATATGGTATATGTTCTCATGGCATGTGAGGCTTCATAATCAACGGTGGGATTTAGGAGTGAACGGTTCATTTGTTAATTATTCAAGTTTTCTTGAGCATGTTTGATGTAATATAACAAAGTATGACAAACCTCCAATAATCCAGTTCAACGAACAACTTATATGGATCCATTTATGTCTCTCAGATAATGTGTAGAGCTTAGTGTGGCAGATAAAACTGAAGTTTTTTGTTGGAGCTTCAATGGGGAGATGACAAAACAACTAACATTAGAGCTGCAAAGTCCGGACATCTTATTTTGTTTAGCTTTATTTTGATGTTTTTTTACATATAATATTATTCTACTTTTAATAAGAAATGCAAATTTAAATTTAGCCTGAATTCAGCATGTTGAAATAATATGATTATTTGATAAAAAAAATAATTTCTAGAAAGACTAAAACGTGATACTACTCCAATCAGAAGTAATCAAAATACCATTCTTGAAATGAATCATTAACATACAAATTTTTTTAAATTATTTGTATTGTTTTTTGAATAAATGATATCATTTCATTTTACCTAAACAATGAATATATAAATTAGATATACTTATTATGATTATAAAAAATATATAATATAAGCACAAGAAAGTAAAATATAACTAAATTAAATAGCATATATATATAATAATTAAAAACATAAAATAATAATTAAGATAACCAATTGAAACAATAAAAAAATCTATAAACTTTATATAAATATAGTATTAGAATAATTATTGGTTGATATAAATATAGTATTGTTTATATAAACTTTAGATTATTTTTTTATCATGTCAAATTAGAATAGAATTATAAGAATATATATATATATATATATATATATATATATATATATATATATATATATATATATATATTAAATTTTTTTATTAATTTTGAATTCTTTAAAATAGAGAATAGTGAAAGTTACTGTCATTTTAATTGAAACCAAAATATTTATTAAAAATAACAATAGATTTTAAAATTCTTTTTATTATTTGTTTTTTTATAATATTGTTTTCAAGCTATAACAACTTTAAATGTTTCTTAAAATAATATGAATTTCTGTAAAATAGTTTTATTATAACTTCCCGCCCGTAGGGCGGGCCAACCCTAGTTTTAAATAAAACCTACATATAACCAAAGAAAACAGATAAGAACTCTTTAGTGAAATTAATACATAGCACCAGACGCATTGATAAAATAGTTTGGCAAAAAGAACACCAAGTTGATCTCCCAAACTTAATTACTTAACGTTACTAATATAGGAAGAGCATTGTTAATACCAAAATAATTTATAGCTCCACATTACAAAAACATCTTCATAATTCACTCAATAAATTTTCACAATTAATTACATTAGTGCATTACCACGCCAAAGATGAAATGACATATTAACATAAATTTTACACAATTATATAAATTAAAACTTCCAACACAAAAAAAAACCAATTACCTCTTACAAAATGAACGCAAATCAACAACTATCAAGTTTTAAACAAGCATTCAAAACATACAATGAGATATCATTTTTGGAGTTGTCCAAACGTCAGTGGTCATAAAAAAACACCACCCGACATGTGATGCAGTCATCCTAACACTACCTGACTACTTAAGACAATTGCATTTACAAGAATTTGACATTCAAACTGTTGACAGTCCATCCATTTGCAAAAACAAAATCTGCAATATGAAATTACACAATCAACTAACAAAATAATTCATAAATTGAAATAACATATATATCAAACAATCCGCGTGTAACGCGGACACACCACTAGTATTTAATAAAAATGTCAAATTCAATTACATGAGATGTTAAATGAATTTTTAAAATTCATATTTGAATAGCATTGGATTTGTCATTTTGATGCAAATCACTTCAAACTCTCAGTTCAATACACCTCTCATTTCCTAATGAACTCTTATTTAAACTAATGGACTAAAACGACATCGCAACCCATCTCGCAAATCAGAACCTTTCCTCCCGAGAAGTGTTGGCACCTACTCCACCTCGAGAAGAGTGGGAACCACCTGGAAACTCAACAATCAGCACAGATCTACTCCATGTTCGGGATTCTCAGTCTATGATCACGTCTTATCACCGTTAATAACAGAAGCCTTAGCTCTCAATTTGAGAATTGAGAAGGCTATGGAGATGCGAATCCCCAACATCACCTTCTTCCTTGACTGCGAAATGCTCATCAAGACAATCAATTGTAAAACACAAATCTCGAAAATCTACGGAGTCACCAAAGACATCGTTCGTCTTTCCTCTTGTTTTGTGTCTATCTTTTTTCAGTTCATCCCTTGTTCCTAGAACATGGAAGCTGATCAGTTTTCTAAACATGCCCTTAAGACCCCTTTTGTTGATTCTTCTTCTTTTGTTGTTCTTAGACCCATAATGGGTTGGCCTTTGGACTAAACTTCTTTCAAGTTTTCTTAATATAATTCAGTTGTTAAAAAAAAAACTTCCAAAGTTACATATTCAGTCTTTTTTTTTTTGCCAACAAGTTACATATTCAGTTAGTTAATCAATTTTCTATTTCTTGGTTTAGAGTGCACGTTAAACGGTCCCCAGTTTAGCACAAGGAACCGATTTGCTGCCTCTAGTTACTTTTGGTATTTATATTTTCATCATTAAAGTTTTATACTTTTCCACATTGGTTAATGCTTGAATAATCCTTAGTGGCTTTCAGTTCGTGTTGATTATTAAATATTCTGATTTGAATATATTCTTGTTTACAGACCTATGTACCTGCATCTTCATAGTATTGTTCTCTTTTTGTTGACAACCTGTATTATACGTACCGAATTTGAAATTTGAATGTGAATTGACAATGACGACATTAACATAAACAATTAACATATATGTTGGTTTATAATGTGAATATTTATAAACACTAGACAATAATTTCTTATTAAAAATATAAAAAACTGAATAATTATAAAGTATATCCCTAAAATAAATTAATAAACTACATAAAATACCGATATAAATGATAAAATGACAGAGGCCAAAAATAAATTATTTCTTTAATTTTATGAACATCATGTGACTGTTGCATATCGTTTCA